GCTTTGAATTAGACACTGTGACAATTTCGAGTAATTCTGTATTATTGAGTGCCAAGTCTGATGTACTGGAGCTTTTAGAGAAATGCATTGAAGTTATGGGTGTGACAAAATACTTTAAACTGCAAACCCTAAAATGTTATTATTTTGTTTGAGAAAAAAAACCAGATGATGACATAATGCTCTTTAATCGCTGTAAACACACATCTGTTGGATTCAGTCAGAATCCAATGATGATTTATTTTAAATGACAGAGGTGACAGAAATCCCTTTGATCACACAAAGCAGTAAGAAGTAGCTTCACTTGCAGAACGCCGGCTCCAGATAGGACGAGTCTTCACCTCTTTTTTTTTAGATTTTGCAAAAGTGATGCATGTGCATTCATTGTGTATTAGATACAAAAAGCCAAACACAGGACTCTTAAGGTAGTTTCGGTTCCTCAGAGAAACAGATTTGTCTTCCAGTTAGTGCCAACAGTGTGAAAAGTGCCACGTTTACAGGGTTACACACAGGAAGCAGACACATTCAGGAGGAAACGCCGACACACTGAAGTGGACTCACAAAGAAAAATGTTGGCATGTGATGTTTGTTTTCATTCTTGTTTTTTTTTTCTTTGTCTGCCTCTCTCTCTCTCTCTCTCAGAACACACACGGGCGAGTGAACTGCACGGGCACAACTTGAATCAAGCTGCCTATCAGAACCACGTTTATGGGTTCACATTACTTCCACGTCAATAATGCACTGAACATTTTTAATTTAGACATACTAGAACATATATTTGATCTCAAGTTTACTTTGCTTTACGTTGTATATTTCACCTGTCAATCATTCGTGATGATGTTCAGAAACAATCATGTGTTCGTGTGTCTGCCGTTTGTGCAAACTACAAATCCTTGAAAATGTAGAAGATGAATATTTTCTGACCTGGGGAAGGAGGAGTTGTCACCTTGTGAACTGATGTAATAAAATGATGCAGTGTGATGGACGACAGCTTCCTCATGTTCAATCTCGCTGGTGTCTGTATGCGTGGCTGTGCAACATTTAATAGTCAGACTCATAACTGAAGACAAAGACAGCTGTTTAAAATAATCATCGTCCTGCTGTAGAGGCGTCCTGATGTTAAATTAACTCGGACTTGATGCGACTGCAAAATGCATCTAGGCGCCAACAGCTTCATAATGTTCTATGAAACAGTGTTGACAGGTAGGTGATAAAATAACACGTTGGATGCATTTCATAAGAGGAGAGGTTTAAAATCAACATCATTGTCAAAAGTTAAAAACAGCCGCCGAGCTGGAAGGGAAAGTTCAGGGTCACAAGCTTAAAGTTTCAGCTTGGAGGCAAACCACCACCGTCTCCCCTCTGACCATCGTAAACAGAGATGAACAGATTAACGGCTCTCATTGTGACATCGTTCACCGGAACAAGTAAAACAACATGTTGTGAAACTTGTGTTTAAGGGGTTTTATGATTATGCAAAAGTGAGAAGAGGACTGTTGGACTTGGCCAAAGTTTAGCTCAATTTATAGAAGTGTTCCCGAATCTTCAGTTTACTGTAAAAAAAAAACTAAAAAAACATGGACGTCGTCTCAGTGATGTCACTAACTGGTTTGAAGCCCACTGATGTGAGTCACCATGTTGGAACTCTTAACATCCAGTGTTGAAAAATGATTACACTATAGAAGTGCAAAATCCTGCAGTTCCTCGAGTGTCCACTTGAGGCTGGCTGCAAAAGAAAAATGCCCCTTTTTACAGTAGAAAAAAATATGTCAGGTACATGAAACTGATTTGGTCTTAACAGCTCTATTTTTATCAGCACACTCTGTACAGGGGGTTGAATTTGACAAGTGAGTTGATGCTGTTTGTCCAGAGGCCCAATGCCCGCCTCAGCTCCGCCTCTTTGCCTGTTACTAGGTTACCCAAAGGTTAGTCCGAGTCAGCATTTACAGTATGGTGACAACAACTGATGGGCTTTAAAAAATCTGCTTTAGAAACCAATGGGTGATGTCACTGAGACTACATCTCTATGTTCACATATATTCTTTGGTCAATCTAGAAACAGACGAAGCAGTGGAGCTGAGGCCTCCTGGCAAACAGCTACAATGTGCCACGCCCCACACTTCACAAATGGACAGTGTATCTTAATGAAGACATGAGCTATTCCAGTCAGAAACGTTTTTGAACCAGGCTGTGAACAAGTTTATTTCTGCTCTTTAAGGGCCTTTTAATGGGTGTGTTAATGGGACTTTTGCAGCCACCCTCAAGTGGACACTCGAGGAGCTTACGTTTTTTTCACTTCTTGATTGGCTTCATTTTTTCCACACTGGAAGATCCAGTTTGGTTTATATTATCTTTGCATTACATTGGATAAAGCTTACTTTAAACACAGCATGCAGGCTTAGGGTTTCTTTAAATAGATAAATAAATGTGAGTGCAGGTTAGGCTGTCTGCAGCATTACTCAGGGAATTCCACTTCATCACAGGCTGAAGACATTGATTGCTTCACATTGAATAAACATGAACATCTGTCCTCTGTGAGATGATTGAAGCAGCTCTTTGGCTCCGAGAGAGTTAAACACTTGATTTTTGCTGAGTCAGAGCAGCTGGCTGCTGCAGCAGTGTGATAACAGAGCTTTGTACTGCGTGGTAGAAAACAGGCCTATGGGCAGCAGAGCGCCCTGACCTCACACTGCATGAATCAGCCGGCTTTTTTACATAAACACCACAAACAAGACAGCGACTGCCTCCTGGAGAAACTAGCACAGCGTGCTGAGAAAGCTGCATTGTGCCTGACAACCTCTGACTGTGAAAACAAGTGGCAGGTTACAGCCTGAAGGATTCAGATCATAGCTTTCTGTGAAGTGGAGGTTTTGTTCAGTTTTATAAAGCTTGACATGAAGAAACAGTTCAACATCTGGGGAAATAAGTGTTTTTTATATTCTTGTAGTGTAAAGTGTCGACTAGACTGTTACCCCTTATGTACAGACTTTACACTAACCAGCTGCTGGTGGTTGCTTCATATTTGTCATACTGATGTTAGAGAGTGTTACCTCGCCATTTGACAAATAATTAGATTTATAAGTTACAGCACAAAGCCCAGGATCTACCTCCACATCAGAGGAGAGGGCCTTACTTAGACTTTGACTGGCAGGAGTTAATTATGTCCAAATATACTGACCTTTCTTTTAAAAGTCAAAGGTATCACTGACTCTCTATTTGTTGTGGAAAATTACAACAAAGACAATTCCAGCATCAAGCAGTTAATAAAGTCTGACACCTACAGTATACCTGATGCAGCAGTTTCAGGCACTAAAAATGATAAATAGAGAATCAATCAATCTTGTAAATTATAGTCTTGTTCAATTTTGTAGCTCATATTGTCATAAATGTTAAAAACAGTTCATTCAATAGGATGATTTATTTTCATTTTTGGAGAAAGCAAAAACTGCAAACCTGGACAGAGATATTTCTCATAGCACCCAAACTGATACCTTAGTGCAGTGGTTCCCAACACGTTTTGGTTTGTGACCTCTAAATCACATACAGCTTATATTGTATACCGTGTTGCAAGTAAACATTCACTTTAGTCCACATTAAGGCTTTTTCATGTATAATGTTGTGGACAGAGGAATAAGAGCCAGGATGAGATTTATGCACAAAGTGAGGATTTTATTTTTCTCAGTGCGAGATATGAACAGCAGGTGATTGTGTTTGCTGGACGCATGAGAGACGGACAAAGATACTGAAGGGTAACATCGTGTAGCTTAATTAAGGAATAATACTACAATGTGTTTTTCATTTATTAATAATAAGATGTTTCAGATAACCCCATTTGAATTCAATGCAACCCCATATTGGGTCTGGACCCCAAGGTTGGGAAAGCCTGCCTCAGTGGATAAAATAACGCTGCATTTATCTCCAATACAGACATGTTTATACTGGTGATGCACATTTCTAATACTTTGTATTGATGTCTTTGTACACTTTCATTCTTGTTGTGGCATAAAAGGTGATGTAAAAGAATTCAGAGCATCATCATATCATGGGATCTCTCCTCTGACCGACATCAGGGTTCTATGAGGTCGATTTGAGGCTCGGGGATACAAGGAGGTCTAACAGATAACCTGAACAATAAAGTGATTTAGTGTGATGTTGTGACTGTTTTTATAAAACGTTGTTCAGACATACAGGCATAGACTTGTAAGGAACCAAGATTTGGCTACAGCACACATTTGAACGATCTCCTGTGGCCGTGACCAACGCTGCCTGAGAGTGTCAAGATTCAGCCAACATGGAGGCAGGAGATGACCTCATCAAAGAAAGGGTGCGGGCCACATCTGGAGTAATAACATGCAGGAGAAAAGAGTCTGACAGAAGCATCATTAAGAAGCAGTATGTACACAGACTTTAGAAACTTGTTCCATTACACACACGTCAGTCTGCAGCCAAGTTAGGTTGAACAAAGACGACAGAAAGAAGTGATACATGTCCTTCCTCATGGGGCTGAGAAAATCTTATTACCTTAAACAACGCATACATTTAAAGAAATAAGATGAATATGGAGATAGATAACCTGGATAATAAACTTTTAATCTTTTTTACTAAGCAAGACAAGCCATGATTGACGTTTTGGCCTTATAACCTTTTAACTAAATTAAAAAAAGTTATCTCATAATTTTGGGGAATAAGTAAAACAAATAAAAGATTAGAGCATCAAATCAAACTTTTTCATTTCAGTAGGATGCAACAGACGGATTTGAAAATGTTTTTAAACCAGTTAAAAGTTTGGTAAGGGTGCACAATGTTCTTCTTGAAGTCTATGGTTAAGAACAGCCGCACTGTAAGAACTGATGTGTTCTTTAGAGACAGAGTTCAGACAGGAACCAAATTATTATCTTCCATAGTCCAGGATGCACATCCTGAGCTGACCACACCCTCCTGTTTAACTGTGGGAGGAGGATGAGCTGACAAGGAGGGGTTCAAGTTCAATTAGGACAGCCCCCTGAAAAGTTCCCACACAGAGAAGAAAAGAGAAGAAAGCAGTCAGAGAGAGTCAGAGAGGGAAGCCCGGGCTGCAGCTCCACCGATGTTCATCAGGAGTAAAAGAAACAGACATGCATTCAGCAGGCAGGTCGTGGCTGCTGCTCACAGGCTTCATTCTCTTTTATATCATCTACCTGCTGTTCGGAGCTCTGGTTTTCTCCAGCATCGAGCGGCCTGTGGAGGACAAGCTGCGAGAGGACTTGGACGCCTTGAAGCAGGAGTTTCTGAACCAGAGCTGCGTCAACGCCGCGTCCCTGGAGCGCTTTCTGGTTAAAGTGCTGACGGCCAACAAGTACGGCGTCTCCGTCCTCAGAAACTCCTCTTTTAGTTCAAACTGGGACCTGGCTTCCTCCATGTTCTTCGCCAACACTCTGGTCACCACAGTCGGTGAGTCCAACAACTCTACAGAGGAACTTGAGGAGAGAACCTGGTGGCGTTTTTTACGCAGGACGCAAAACTAACCTCGTAAAAATAACCATCAAATCTCAGGCAGCTTTCACAGAGAAGGGTCGACAATTAAACACACTTTAGACATATAACGCCATAACCATAGACAAAATACACCAGTATTGGGGAAATTTTCAGTTTAAAAAAAACAACACAAAAAGTCTCATGTTATGACGTTGTTTTGCCACGTGTCATTGATGTTACAAACCATTTTCAGCTGTTCAACTTTTAGGTAACATTTCAGATCAAAACAGAAACACTACCTCAGAAAGACCACAGCCTGTGAAAGAATGCAGTATTTTTATCCTGTTCAATTCTCTCTCATAAAAACAAACAAACCCTCATCCCTGCAGTCAGATATCTCTAAGACTTTTTCTCTTGAGCAGAGGGAAGGTCCCGGGGACTTTTCATGTTAAACCAACAGTCAGAAGTTGAACATGAGGGCAGAGAAGGGGATGATTTAAAGGTCACTGAAAGCCACCATGAATGACTGTATCTGATGATGAAATGAAGTCATGTTTGTAAAAACAGTAGATTATGACTGGATGTAACAGGAAGTGAAAGGAGCAGCTGGGTGAGAACAGGCTGACACACACCACAAGAGGGATCTCAAACAGATCATCATCATCATCTGCAGGTGGCTCAGCAGTGATAGGACAATTTACAGTGTCCTTGAACTATTGATACAAACACACTCAGTGGATGAAGATGTTTATTATCCAAGCTTTAGTATTGATACAAAATGAAATTTTACATCACAACGCTCAGGTTTAGACTTTAGCTTAGTGCTGTATTCCAGCTTAAGGTTGTTATGATTTTTGATGCTTATTTAGATTTAGTTGTAAGTGAATTTTAGTGAATCTTTAAAAAAACTACAGATCTTCAGTCATGTTTAAACAAAGCTGCCACAAGCGAAAGAGACAGAGCACAGTCTTAAATTGTCAATGTTTTGGTAGGTGTCTGTAGGACTTAATGTCGGGTCCTTTGGGTTGTTGCTGCGGTGTGGAAGTGCTTTGAGTAGTCAGAAGACTAGAAAAGAACTATACAAGCTCAAGTCCATTTATTTACCATTTAGGAAACCCCGGGAGGCCTTTTATTGTTAACTTCTGTGCAGTCTATGCAGAGAAATGTAAAAACACTCAGAGTCAAAAATTCTCAGACAAACAGACACTCAGAAGGCCACCGAGGAAATGCAAATTCATGCATGAAGCAGAACATCAGTGACCCTGAAGTTCAGGAGAAGTTTGCTCTTCCTGTGTGTGTTTCCTAACCTCAGACCAAACACCAGTTTGTTATCTTAAACTTTAATCTGGAGGTTAAACCAGAAGTGAACAAATACCATTTTCATTTGTGTGTGCTGTTATAGTCCTCATAGAGGACAATAACCATGCAAACGTCTGCAGGTAGAATACAGAGGAACTAGAAAGTACTTCTGCAAGAAATAGATTGGTGACTTTTTTTATAGATGGAATAAAAAAAATAGCACAAACTCTTCGATAGATTAACTCCCTGTGGGAACAAGTGATGTCACTTTTTCTCTTCTGACTGATTTATGATGTCATCAGGAGGAGGGGCAATTTGCAAACTGATGCTATACATCCATATTCTGCAGCTTGTAGTCTTCTCTATCTATGCTACATGCTCGAATGCATTCATGATACACAACAAAGACAGTTCTGCTCTTTAGGTGAACTAATGGTCTAAGAGTTTACACACGCCTGCTAGGCTCATTTTAGGTGTCATTTATTTAGACATTTTCTCCACTGAGTTGAACAGATCAGCAGAAAATCCCTTCACAACACCTGTACAGAAAAGTGGTATCTCCTGAGCATGTTTAATCTGTGTCCAACCAGATTAGATTTCACTAAACGGTCCTCATGGTCACCTCCTGTGTCATTAATTTGAATCGAAACACAGATTCACCGCAGCAGATAAGATAATGTTAATTATGGGCTTTTAATTAGGAAGTGAATTAGATTAGTGAAATACAAAACTGGAGAGTCATTGCAAACAATCAAATAAACAAAGAGTGGATGAGAAGAGGAGTTACAGCACACAGTATCAGTGTGTGGCGTTCCCCTCAGTTCACAGTAACTTCTTTGTACATTCAGCTGGAGCTGGAGCTGACATAAACTTGTGCTCACTTTTTTTGTATTCTGCAGTGTGTTAAATCCCTGAAAGTGTGTTTGTATATTCATTCATCATCCATAATACAATCATTGTAAACAATACAGACAAAACACAATCTTATATTAAGTAGTGAGTGAGCAGGCCTAGACAGAAGAACACTGCATTTAAAGTGCAGGTATAAAATGTAAAGCTGGTGCAGGGCATCACCAGCATCTGCAGCAACAGTGACTTCCTGTCTTTGGTGTTTTGATAGATATGAATGCTGTTTTTGAAGCTTTATCTGCACCCAGCACAAGAGAGTCTGTTTAATCCCTGCAGGCTCCACAGCCGCCGTGTGATAGTACTATCAGATTCATGCACAACACTGATGGCTGTAAACAACAAAAACCTTTTGCATGACATTTCACTCCTTCCATGTTTTTGTTGTGTCAAAAACTTGAACATGTGATTTCAGAGCTACATGGAGGTAATCGCATTAGTGTTTGTCTCTGCTCCTGTTTGTGATAAGAATAACTGCAGACTGAGCGTAACAAAGAGAGCTTTGTTCTCGTGTTGTCCTCTCTCTCTCTTCTGCAGGCTGAACTGTTTAAACACATCCTTTTAAGAGTTGCCAATCGTTAGCAGAGCGTCGTTTTATAGAAGATTTAATTAAAGCTGTTAAATCAACCCAATCTAAAGGGAAGCGTTCAGTTCCAGAGGAAATGCTTTAAACATTTACATGTTAAAATGATGCAAATACATATTGTACCGCTACAATGAGCCTGATACTGCCAGAGAAGTTTGAGTTCCTTCATCCAGCGTTAGTTCCCTGATGCTGACCACAGCTGCTGGTTTTCTGTTCCACAGTTGGCTGCACTTCAACTGAGAAACAATCATGTGCTGCTGTAAACTCTTTTCCACTCTTGATATTAAGCCAAAAAAAAGTTTTCTAGTTTTTCTTTTTAGATTTGTATTGTTTGATTTCTGCCCTGCCTCCAACACAGTGAAGGTTAATGGAGTTTGAAAACTACATTAGTCCAACCATAGGACACAGCAGTGTGCTTGTTACTGCAGATTTGATACTGTTCAAAGAATGTGCGTTCCACTTCAGTGGTTTTGTTGCCCTGAGTTTTGCCTCTCAGGCTGCAGCCTCTCTCACCAATCATCCGGTTGATGGCGTAATTAGAAAAGTGTTACAAAGTGGATAAATTGACCTACAATTAAACAGATTACAGCATTTTGTCCTCTTGGAAATTTGACAAAAACAAGTTTAAAACAAATGGGCGCTCGGATAACTCGTGTGGTTCTTTTGAAGGCTAATCGCAGTCAATGTTGTATCCCAGCCAGTCCTTTGCTGCATGCCCCCCCCCCCACGTTCCCTGCAGTTCTCCAGCTGTCTCCATCTAAACAGCGCAACAAATACCCAAAACATCATTGTAAAAAAGGCTCCATAGTTCTAAAGTAAGAAGGTACCAATTAAATATTTAAGCCCCAAAACAAGTAAATAGCTAAAAGTGTTGTTTAGCAAGAATACATTTTTTAAAATGCTGACTGCACTTAAAAGAAATAAAGTACTTATGGATGTTAAAGCCGCCTTGAAGTACCTCAAAGACATCAGAGTCTCAAACTGAGGGATGAAAACCTGAGATCAGTCACTCAGGATGATCACTGCTCAAGGTTTTCAGAATTATAACAAAAGTTACACATATAGAAATGCAGGAAGTAGCTGTATCTTTTTATTCCCCAGCCCTGCCTTTAATTAAACAATTTTAATACGATTTTAAACTCTAACTCTGCACTGTAGCTTTGAACTCTTTTTATATATTTACTTCAATTAATTTAATTTTAATTATTTTTATTTGAACATATATTCAGATTTAATAATTTCAGTGATTTAAAAAATTTCTATTTTAATGTTTCTTTTCTTTCCTCTGTCATGATTGTTGTTGAAATGTGCTATATAAATAAACTTGCCTTGCCCTCTGCATCATATATATCATCATTCATATATCTAACTTTTCACCTCTCTTTCCCTGCTGTCTCTAACAGGTTATGGTCACAACACTCCTCTGTCAGACCCTGGAAAAGTGTTCTCCATCATCTACGCCCTGATCGGAGTCCCCTTCACCATGCTGGTGCTGACGGCCTGCGTGCAGAGGCTCATGTACCCTCTGGTCCTCGCTCCCGTTGGCCGCCTGCAGCGTTCGGGCATGGAGCCCCGGCCCGCCACCGTCCTCCACTTCCTGTTGCTGCTGGTTCTGGTGGTGTTGTTCTTCTTCGTGGCGCCGGCGGCCGTGTTCAGCGCGGTGGAGATGACCTGGTCTTTCCTGGACGGCATCTACTTCTGTTTTATCTCGCTCTGCACCATCGGGCTGGGGGACTTTGTTCCAGGGACGCAACCTACACAGAAGTACAGATCCCTGTACCAGGTCGCTGTCATGGGTGAGTGAAGAGGATCAAATGTTCCTCAGAGATCAGGAATATATCTTTAATGAAGTCAAAAGTTCAGTTAGACGATTCCAAAACCAAGAAAACTCACTTTGAGTCATAACTGGTCTTTTAAAGTTTGGCACAACAGTCAATCCTTTTTCTTCCATCATCTGTTTCTGTCTGCGTCCATCTAATGTCTATCGTAGTGTCTTTATGCGGCCAATTTATTTTTATTTTAGAAGATTCCATAGAGAGTTTGAAGTCTTGTGAGTTAAGTCTGAATGTTTCTGCAGTGTCACAGTTCCTGCCTCACACACTTCTCCTTTAAGGCTATATAGGCGATGTGCATCATTATGTTTGATGAGTAGGTGTTGTCTCATCATAATGGCTTCACATTGACGTCCATATTAGTATCTGTTGAGAGCGGTCAGTCCTAACCAATTAGTTTAACCTTTTGTCTTAATTAACCACAGAGTAAAGTGTGCAAAGTCTCACTCACATGTGTCATTTAGCACGGGCCTGTTTCAAGCCATCACAAGTGTCAACTTCCTCTCACTGCACTCAGTTATGGTTCAGTGCACACTCCCTGCACACTCCCTGCACTCACACACACACTGTTGAGTGCTGATTTCTGAGTAAATAGATCCAGGTAAGAGAAACAAACATCTTCACTGTGTTTGTGTTGAGTCAGTCAAGTGGAAAGTTTTCCCCTTGGCCTCTTTTTTACTGGTTCTTTTTTTTTTAATCTCAGTGTCTGTCATCTAGTCTGATAATATTAGAAAAAGAATCTGCCAATGTTCCTGAGCAGCTGTGGGTCATTTAATTGAACTAATCCTGCCAAAAACACGATAAATACCTTTTAAAACAAACGTACTAATCAGCTCTGCAGTGTGTTATCAGAACAGAAACATTTTAAAGAATACTCACAGGATGTTTTGTCGACTTACACTAAATATAAACGTATCTTTTTGTGTCCACAAACACTCTACAGGGCAGTGTGAAGAAGGATCCTTGAAATTTAGAAACAAAGCAAACACCCACGAGCTAACCTGAGTTCAAGCAGACCAAACAAGTGACTATGCTGAACCATCTGCTACCAAAAACAATGCACTGATGAGCCTGCAGCCTCCACTTCATTTCGTAGAAATCATAATTTATTTGTAGGTTAATGACCACACACACACTCTAAAATATCCACCCTTCATTCAGAAACCACTGTCAACACAGGTTTCACCCCTCCTATTGTAAGTTCACTGCAGTGTTGATTATAAATGCAACACACACACTGTGATAAAAGACGTTCTGAGTAACATGACACACAGTGAGTCTGGTGTGGTTTTGTCCTTGGAGGCTCACACTGGGCTGATGCATGCCTGCAGAGTTGGAGATGAGAGCAGGTTATCAGTGTGGTTTTCCTGCAGAGACACAGAGATGCAGTTTAGATCACATTGTCCTCGCCCAAAAGGACGTCATCATCATCAGTCTGCTGAAAAAACAAATACTCATTTCCTTCTTTAAGAGGAAGAAGGCATGACGTGCAGTGTTTTGAAAATACAGCTTTTATTACTTGAGACTTGATGTAATGACAGGACAGGCATGACAAGAAGGATTATCATTATGTGTGCAGATTGTACTATGCTGCTCACACAACCGAGTGTGTCCTGCTCTGAGGGAAGCAGCTGACCTTCTCAGACGTGCATGCCGTCTCAGTTCTCACCTCTGATGTAAAAAGTTGCACCTTCCACTGCTTCTCTTTTCTCGGTAGTCGGAGGCCGATATGTCAGTACCCAGAAATGAAACTGCTCTCTGAATGTCTCAGTTCTCTGCACTGCACTCGATTAGAATCAATAGGTATTTGAAGAGAATTTCATAAAAACAGAAATTCAGTTATCCCACAGGTCTGAGTGATAAATATTTGCCTTCTGATCATTTTGATCAAACCTGGAGATGAAGGTTAAAATTATAGAGTGAGACTTTTATTATTATCATTATCATGGTTTTAAGCCAGTAGGTGTGGCATAGTGAATGTCAGTGTCAGGATTTAAGGAAGAAAATCTGGATTAAAATGAAATGTCACAAAATATCTGAAAGCAATACATTTTATTTAACTCTGTTTTCCTGTGCGAATGAGTAAAGTGCTGCTGTTTTCTGGAGGCTCAAATTCAGCAGAACATTAGGGTAATAATGGGATAAATAAGTCGAGCTCTTAAATGTACTTTTTATCCAAACATTTTATTTTGGTCTTTTTTCCTGTGATATTTGTCAGTTTAGCGCTTCTGTAGAAAACAACTCAAAGGCTACAGAAGTGTTTTCCATCACTCTTAAATCCTAAATTCTTTTGAATTAATTGTTTAAAACATTAAAGAGCCCAGATGTGAACACATTAATTAATTAATTAATTAATTAATTTTTGCAGATCCTCTGACTTTTCCACAAAGCGACAAAATGAGGTTGACATTTGAGTCTGCAGCCAAAAGGCTCAGAAACTGTTGGATAGATTCTCATGACTTTTTTCTTCCAGCTTTGTCATTGTAAGCTTTGCCTGAGACAGAGCTGCTGCAGCGTATGTGGACTGCTTAGTCCTGTTAGAGAGACATGTTTGTGATATTTTTAGACTTTCTTTGCCACATCAGAGACGGGTTTTTATCAGAAATCTAGCAAAAATATCATGTGAGTCATTTTTCATCTGTTCTTCGATGAGTCACGATGCTAATTCATTTTAATTTCCTCCCTGCAGCAAGGCTACATCTACAAATACAAAGTGAAGTGTGCGTGCATTTTGGCTTTTTAATGTCTATTTGTAGCACGTCATTTGAGTATGAAATCAGGAACAGAATAAATGTGTTGCTGCAGATGTACTGAGACTCCTAACGAAGTTTACCAGCCTGACAAGATGAACAGGAAACACATATTAGTCTGGAAACCACCATGGTGTATTGTCTAATAGGATTCAGATACTATTGTAAATGTGCTTTTCATAAACCACTGGATCCAGCTGTGTCACATGACAGAGGTTGGCTCTCTGGTTGTTCAGCCTCTGTGCGGGTGTTTCCTCTCTAATTGAATCCGAGCTGGAATGACCTTTTTGTCTCAAAGTAGACATGCTGTTGTTTTGTCCCCGGCTCTACAGAAGGTCTCTGACAAACAGTTTGTACGTCAATGGATTTAATTAACAAACAAGTCAAATTCACCTTTAATAACTTTGCTGTCAAATGGAAAGTGTTGGTATCAAACTTCAGGTTTCTGAGGATTTAAAAATATTGAAACCACAGTTAGGCTGTTGTGATTTTACTGACATGATGGAAGTAGCTGTGTTTTCCTCCGTGTCCTCAGATAATCCTTTGAGTTCAGGTTGGAAGGAGTCCCAACAGTTCACACAGAGCAGCCGTGTTGTGTTTTTTTCTCATCCTTCAGGCTTTATTATATAATGATGATGATGATGTAGGTCGAGTCAGATTAACACAAACAGTCCCTGAAGGTTCTGAGGAGGATTAGTGACTGACTGAAGGAAGTGGCGTCTGGTTCTCACAGCCTGATGAAATGACGTCTTGTAAAAGTGATCAGGATGTAAAATCATTCTAGTTTATAAACTCCTCTATGCTGGAGTGGAAATTAAATGAAGACGAACCTCTGGTCTGTGTTTTATATCTGTAATATCCAACAGTAGGAACAAAAAGCTTTTTATTCAGAGAAGTATGTAGCTTGTATTGCTCTGATCTCATGTGATAAAAATAACTGAAGAATTTCCCCCTTTAATCTCATTACTGAAAGCCTGAAATGGACGGTAGGAGTGAGTCTAGAAAATGACATTTCCCCAGAACCTTTAAGGAATTTTACTTTACCGGCATATTAGTATAACAGACGTGTGGTCTACAGTTTCAGATTGTTGAATTCTCAGAAAGAATAAAATATGAAGTCAAGGCTTTAAAATGACATTTTGACAAAATACAAAGCTCTCATTTCTGTCTCTGATTTAATAAGTGGTCGTTTAGGCTTGTTCATTTTATTGTCCAACATGAATTTATGCTATGGTTGTCAAAATGTTAGTTACTTTGATACTTTTAAATACCATGTGTTTCTCTGTTATTTGAATGATCAGTAGTATCAAACATCAACAATATAGAAGCCTTAAAACATCTTTAAGATTGTAAGTCAAAAGCTGCTGTGAGTAAGAGAGAGAGAGAGCACAGTGCAAATGTTTTTGGGCAGTTTAGACGATGTACTGGAGTTTTGTTTTAATTTCTTTTAGTATTTTAGAACAATAAATTACCAATTTGACGTTCCCAGTACTTTTTTTTGCTGGGTATTGATATCATTCAATTTTTAGCAGTATAGTATCTTAGTTTAAATTCTGGTATTGTGGCAAACCCAATCTAGATGGATAGATTCTTTATTGACTCGGAGGGAAATGCATCCAGTAGCAGCTTACAAAAACATGCATTACATGAAACATTTGTAACATCTAACAACGCCCGGTGTCCCTCCTCCATATGTTTATACTAACCCCAACCCTGAGATTTAAAGAAACCCCTTCATGGACCAAACTTAAAATTAGACCTATACCAAGAGGATTGACATAACCAGTGCAGGAATAAAAATAGAAACTCAAGTTCAATTTTAAACGCTGGTAAAATCAGACCTGAGCAGACACAATCACTACATACAATGTAAACTTGTTCTTATGTTATGCTATGAAAAGCCCTAAACATGTTGAAAGTCACTCAACATAACAATGACAGGAAAAGCTCGAAGAAGCAAGCTGTTGTTTTGAGGTTTTTCCACGGCATGACAGCTCAGCATGTCTACAGCTGCTGAAGAGCAAATATTTAAGGCTGGTAGTTTTGAAGTTTGGACGGTCAAAGTCCTGTTTTTGTCATGTGGTGATGAGTTATAAATAAAACTAAAACAGTAAAAGATTTTACTTGACTCTGCAGGTTTAGACTTTAGAGGTTAATCAAAGAACAGTGATTCATTATATAAGGAGTGATGAGGGAAATATAGGAGGAAATGTTTGAATATATAGCCTCCAGGTGCTGACCTGCATGTCTCAGGATTTCTCCTGCATCACTGACTGCCCTCCCTCAGAGTCTGTACAGGTCTGGATCTGAGGCCTCTGTAATCCTTGGCCTACTTGTTATGAGAGTCTGTTGTCCAGGACCTGGTGTCTGAGGTTCTGGAGGAAAGTTAAGTGCACACATGTGACTGAAGAAAAGCACATGGCTTCTGTGAAAGGCAAACACAAGAATCAGAGTAGAAATAACAAACGCCGAGTCCAGCGGATTGTCTCAGCTGTGGCGCCATCTTGAGGACACTTTTGTCACTTTTTGGGGGAAGTCGATAAATTAAACACATTTTATCCCTCAGCTCTTCACAGACGATATTTTCAAAGATTTAGAAAACACAAACACTCTTAGCATTGACTTGATTATAAAGTATTCTGTCCTCTCTTTGATCATACCTTTAAAAAAAAAAAAAGAATATTGCTTCTTATTTCATTTTCTCTGTTAATATATACTTATACATGGATCAAAATTAAAGTAACCTCAAATAAAGTTAGAAAGAATTGTTTCATTGAGGTCAGTGTCACCTGTGGGTGCACTCCTGATCAGCACAGTATGTGGTTTCTTACACATTTCTTCCATTGAGTATCAAAGTTAGACAAAATAAACCCTTCTATCAAAACGCTTGTGGCTGAACCCGAAGGGGAAAAGTCATCAGTTATACTTAGACCTGATCTGATTTTTTTGTAAAGGTTTACTGCAGATATCCGGCAACTTCCTGTTTGATTATTAGCAGAAAGATAAAATGTCATACCTGTACAGTATTTATGTATCTTACCTTTTCATTGCATCGTAAAAAGCACAGTTAGATCTTTCTGTAAGTTGTGTTGTGCAAAAGAAAAGTGACTTCCTGCAGGTGTTTTCAGAGAGGCCTCCAGTGCTGTCAGCCTGTAATCGTCTCACTGAAACCCAATGCATTTCTCGGACAAGTTCTTTGACCATTTTACCCGAACATTTTCTTAGAATTCTCCTTAATGTCCATTGACTGTATTTAAATATGTACAGCCAAACCCCTCTCGATGGGCGCTGGCATGTTGCGCCGTTTGACGTCATTAGGAGACATAAAATGGATCTGGCTGGAGGAGCTGCAGTGTTTACATCACACCCCTTTTTCTAACTTACCCCCAGGTCCGTACAGTCCACAGCAGAACAGATGAGTTTGTCGTTTTGAAGCAGACACTCACAGTTAGGGAAAGGTAAAAGCTTTTAATCCAGGTTTTATATCCTGTTTTATAGCATCCAAGAACTAATGACAACAATCAGTGTATGATTAGACATAAGATGACAGAAACCATGTTTGACTGTTTGTATTTTTATTTAAAGTTTGCTGCATGTTCTATCCGTTAACATAGAGTAGGGTTGATGATATATGCTGCAGCAGGATTGGCTTCACTTCTCGTAGCACTTGTGCTGTCCATCTTTATTCAGTGTGATTACCGATACCCCCTACAGCTAATAGCTGCCCATACACGTTCAAACCCCTGATCTAATATTTTTGAATCTGTGAAAATTGTCTTTGCAGTAGCATTTTTCTACATTGTTCCTAATGACCTTCACCCGTCTCTTCCCTCTCTTCCTCCAGTCTACCTGTTCGTTGGTCTGATGATGATGTACCTCCTGCTACGCACCTTCCACAAAATGGCCGACCTGCACGGCCTCACCACCCTCCTGCAGCTGCCGCGCTGTGAGGAGACTGACCTGGACGAAGAGAGAGAGCCCATTGTTGAGAACGGACAAAGGAACCCGACGCCCCCTTTCGTCACAGGAAAAGAAGACGGCAGACCCCTGGAGCCGGGATCACAGCTGACATACAACACCATCAACAAAGGCTGAGCTGAGGGGACGCAGAGAAGGAGAAAAAGCAGCTCTACCTCCGTCGACCTATTGGGCTTGACCTGGTGATTAAACACCCGGACTGGTTGGGCTGAATCTGAATTCTTGTCTTAATCGTTTCATTCTTGACATCTGTTTGTGAGAGGTGAGCAAAATGAGGGATTGAGACGAGTGTTGAGATTCAGCCTTTGTGTGTGTGTGTGTGTGAGAGCACCAACAAACACCTTACATCCCTCAATGCACACATGAGAGGACTATCAGAACTCGACTACGGCAACCCACCTAGGCAAAAAGGCACATGTTGCTTTTCCTCAGCGCTGGTGTAACTGCGGTGTGTCCACAGCTTCAGTGTAGCACATGATGGGCTCAGACTTTGGACACCGGTTTGTTGCTTTCAGGTCACTTTGTACTTTTTTGTTCCACTGGTTTGGGTTACAAGTTCAGGACTGTTTTATTGATCTGGAACGATAACTGTCAAACCGTCTGCAGTTGCACTTAACCATCTGAACCTTACCAGACCAATACTGGCGGTTTGACTTCTTCCAGTTATTTTTCACATTTGCACATTTTGACTGAAACCCCCCCCCTTAGAAAACTGTTCAGACTATCCAGTCAGAATATAAGCAGTTTTGGCTTTTATTTGTTTTTGCACAACTTGAATCCATCTTCCCAAGCGTGCACGATCACAGCTGCAGTGCCTTTAAAATAGTTCAAACTTGTGTTCACTTCCTTAAAGACTAGTTTTATGAAGACCTCTGCTGAACACTTCAAACACAAGACTTTCACGAGAATGTGTTCTTCAGAATAAAAGGAAACAATAAAAAAAAAAAAAAAAAAAATCTGAGGACCTGAGGTGTTTCTTTAGGGTGATTGAGGGTCTGATAAATCCACCAGAATAAACCTTTGAAATGCACTTTAATGTTCACAACAGTTCAATGCCAACTGAGCTGTAGTCGAGTGAAGTGGCTGATCATAACCTGATGTTGTAAAATGTTTGGATGTAGTTTAGTGATGTTTGTGTATTCATGTTGAACCACCGTTCATTTAAAAAAACATGTTTGCTGTTATTTTTGTTAAAGCATGTCAAACTCATCTTCACTCTGACACGTTTACTTTTAGCAGACAATGCAAAGAATCAATGACTGAATTTACTTCTGGTTTCCTCGAGGTGCTCTTATACTCTTGAAGTGGGAGCGCATTCAAGTCCTGTACTAACCAGCATCCACTTTAAATAAAATAATGTGACATGGTTTGTATTATCCTTGATTGCTTTCCTGCATGGAATAAATACGAAGACTTCATTTTCACATTTTATTAAAAACAAGTAAAAGTGAACAGATCTTTTGTCTTTAAAAAAAAAAGTCTAAATACACAGTATCTCAAATTCAAAACATAACTTTAAAATATTTTTAAAGAAAAAAAGTTAATACAGTACTTGAATACACCATTAGTGAATTGTAAGTTATGGAATATCACTTATAAATAGTTAGGGACTGCAGCCCAGCTATTCAGAGAGGACGCGTTGATGCGTCGACAGAACGTGTGCCGCCTCGAACGTTTCTCATCATGCATTTTAACAGTGAAGGTTCATATACTCATCTCAACATCTAGAAAACAACTTTAGAGATTATTTCAAACATATAAAAGAACACGTACAAGGACCCGATTATGTGGGATCAAAGAACATTTTGGCCGTACACATGTAACAGGACCACTGCATACTAAAAACAGTAACAAACAAACCACATGCTCCCATGAGATGCATATGAGTAACAAAAAAAGTGCAAGAATTCTGATGTAAACCAGACAAAACATGTCAACTCCATAAAACGTCAAAACTGATGTGCAAGTAGAGTTCACAGGAGGTCCGAACCATCTGCACATGGCTCAGCATGTACCTGAAACCCAAACCAGGACCGATCAGTAATAAAAAAACATCTTGATGACGGAGGCTGTTGCTCAGTGGTTGTGATGATTTGTGTAAAATCAGTAAACTCAAACTGCAGAGCACTTATTTTAGTTTCACTCCTTAGTCCATTGGCTGAGTCATTTTAAGGATTGTTGTTCCTCTTTACTTAATGAAACTGCATCATAATAAAACCCCTTTACTTTGTCACAGATGGTAGTTAAGGGGCACATAGATAATAGTTAAAGTTAACCTGCAAGAGTCAAACACACATGAAAAGGTCTTATAACTGAACTAAACATGTTTTAGGATTTCTTCAAGCCAAAAAACCTGATTTAATAAATGACTCAAGTTCTTTCCTTTGTGCTCCTACTTTTTCAAATCCAAACATGACCTTTAAACTTTCAGATAAATGTGAGGTTAAAGGATTTCTTCACAGAAGATTTGACCTATAATGTTACTGTTCAGACCAACAAATACCAAATCACATTCTTTCAGAACTCATTAACATTTGAGACTTTTTAAAGGGGATCTTTCAGATTTGTCTCTGCACGTTCAGTCAGTTTAAAAAAAAAAAAAAAATCAGACAGTTCACAACTGGCTGTTTTTTTCTGCTTGGGATGTTCAGTATGAACGCTACATTACCTGAAGCTGTGATGCATTTGACAAACTTTAAGGCAACAGTGAAATGATTTTCTATCTTCTTCAGTTTTCTAATTAAGCGTCTGCCTTCCATAGATTCAGTCAGATGAGTCATGCAGGAACTGTAGTAAACACTGACTCACTACTTACAAAGAAAGAGACACAACCAAAGCTGGCTCACTACTACCCCCATTCACTGTGGGCCAGAAAACGGAAACCCTTCAGGCTGCTAAAAAAGTCAGATGCATCACAGCTTCTCATGATAACCCACCTCTGGAGTGTTTACTGTCCAAGACATCAACACTTTCTGATTTCAGGAGGCCATAATACAATAATTCATGAGCAGTGTATAAAAACAAGAAAGTGAATATTTGACAGGTTTGAAAATGTTGTATTTTTCCTCGAGAACAGTTTTTGTCCACAACTAACCGTGTCCAGGATACTTCCTGAACTTCCTTAAGTTTGACCAGAGCTCAGGACTCCACCAGGATCTCCATCAGATGTTCCAGCTCAAATCCGTCTTTTACATGATTTTGAGCAGAGAGGGCTGGTGAAGAAAATGATGGTGAGGAAGTTGATGAGGAAGACAATGGGCTGAACGAGGAGAAAGAAGGGAGGCACTTCAGGTTCTGGTTCAGGGAGAGGGGGAAAGTGTGCGAGGGGGACACTGACGACAAAGGTGGCAGATACCTTAAAAGCTCATCGCCAGAAACATATCCACCTCCGCTGCCACAGAGCCCGAGCACACACATATCCCTCTCAAGCAGGGACGTGTCTATATCCTGAAACAGATTCTCTACAGTGAGATCACTGAGGTAGCTGGACGCTGCCCTGCACTCTTCCTGCTGCTCCCAGTTTCCCCCAAAATCTCTGACTCCCTTGACCCCAGCCACACCTCCCTCAGAGAGCCCCGACAGGTTCTCCAAGGACCTGAGAGGTGTGCGTGGAGCTGCCTGTGCGCTCCCATCTATGGTGCAGTCCAGTGCAGTGAGAATTGAGGAGATGGCGGCAGAAAGGGAGAAATCAGAATCAGTGGACATTGATCCCCAGTCCTCATCATCGTCTTTTAAAGGCAGAGGGACATTTGAGGCACTCGAGAGGCTGTGTGTTATACACCTACTTGCAGCACAATTTGACATGTTATTAAGAGGAACAAGAGGGCAGTTTGCAAGAGCCGAGTGGCTGTTAGAAGAGCTACAAGGGGGTTGTAGCTCTTCTTCCAAGTCTACAGAGGGCGTCCTACAAGCCTCCAGGCTGACCTGCCGCAGTGTGTTTGCTATAAGAACAGACCTCCGCAGGCTGGGCTCAGGTAGCTCCTGGCCTCGCTGATACTTGTTCATGGAAACTGAGAATACAAACTGACGCTGGGTCTCCCAGCAGGGGCTGCTCCTGTCTGAAACCTCAACGTCCTCTGGAGGGTGCTTACGCTTCTGCCCCTTCATGATCATCTCTAAACCTATGGAAGACAAGACATAGACTGTTAAAGTGACTTGAATTATATCGCATATACTGTCAAAATTTTGATGTGAGAAGAGAACCCATAAATCCAATCAAATGTCGTCATTCGAGAGTAAGTTGGGATCATAATTGTTGAGGCTTCTCAATGATAAGGAGGATATTCCTGCTTTTAAAAACATTTCAGATAGATAGATACTTTATTGATCCCGAGAGAAATTCAAATCATCCAGTAGCAGGTTACAAAGACGAACATGACATGAAACATTTGTTACAAATTAAACCGCAAAACCGACGCCCCCCCCTCACATACATATATATTAACCCGAAAAAGAGATTTAAAGAATACCTCTAGATGAATCAAATTTAAACCAGTGCAATTAAAAAATAGACTTGAAATGTACACAACCCGTGCAGGGATAAAAAATATATGTGCAATTTAAAACAGTCAAAATGACGGTCTTTCTAGTGTTAAACAGTTGAGGGAAAAAATCTGTAAATAGACCTGAATATAAAATATAAGAATAAAAAAGTGTTGACCTTCTGAAGTCGTGTTGTTTATATATGTACAGCAATGTATAAAAAGCAATAGTGCAGAGTTATCAAAAAGCAGACATTAAATAACAGGCAGTGCAAACATTAAATGAAAAGGTGCTACGCAAGTAATTGAGGTGATTTCTGGACTGTTGGTCCATCCATTAAAACATCATGTGGCCTGACAGCTCGTGGTGAAAAGTGCCCTGTTTTTATATTTCTGCCATTTAATCAGAAATAAAATATTCATTGAAAGACAGAAAGAGACAGTCAGGTTACATTTTGACTATTTGAACTGCTTATTGTGGTGACCAAGAAATGTTTGACATAAGAAAAACTCACTTAAAGTCTGATGAGGCTTATCATTCACAGGTAAGTCTTAAACACCTTTAGATGTTTTTAATGCTCTGGTTGTTTTTTTTTTTTTTATTAGGTGATGCAGAACAATACAAGAGGAGTGAGAGACATGACAAGAGCAGTAGTATGTAGGAGACAGGGGAGACACCACGATACAATGCACAGCATAGACAGACAGTGTGTGTGTGTGTGTGTGTGTGTGTGTGTGTGTGTGTGTGTGTGTGTGTGTGTGTAAAATTCAAATGTATGCTTGTATTTTTTTTCTTTCATTTTCAGATCACATTTTTCTCGTTCTTCTTTCCTTCATTCCATTTTTTTTTTTTATTTTTTTCCTCCTTTTTCTATTTAATGCTCTGTTTGATACAATCTTTAAATAATTTGCAAATAATTTTAATTAAATAATAAAGACAAATTAATCTGAGATCAGGAATATACCCACCTTAGTTTAAAACACGGTTAACAGTAATAAATAATATTTGAAACTGGTCTTTTTCTAGACTATTTAAATCTACTCTCTGGATGTTGGGGGTTGTAACGTTGAGTCTCATCGTGTAGGAGGGAAAAATACATCTTCAAAACCGAAGCCAAAATGGGCTTAAACACCCTTAAAATATCTTAAGAAAGGACACAAAACGATAATAACGACGATACATCTTGAAATTGATGGTAAACTTTAACTTTAAGTCCATTTGTAAAGTAAGAGAAGAAACCAACCTGTTGAATCACTTCCCGTCTCTCCTCGGTGAGTTTAGAAGAAAACGTTGCCAATAGTTACTGTGTCTTAAAAAAACTGCCTCCACTTCGACACAAACAGATAATTAATGTCACACGGTTAACTCCAGGGACACTAAAATGTTTAAACATTTAAACATTTAAACATTTAAAAATTCAAACTCAAGCTAAAAGCTACAGCCTTGTTTCGCCGACTGAATGAGCCGACCCTCTCTGGCTCTCCCGCCCGTGATTTTAAGTTTTACGCCAAAACGTTTACAGTGGGGGCTGGGTGTATCGAAATGCATCATGGGAAGTGAAGTTTATGTAAGCCGCATACCATCACATCCATAAAACCGTCAAAAACTGCTCCAAACTCACGTTAAATGATGCATGTGGAAAAATGTTAATATAAAATCAGAAGGCATATATTATTTAACCCTTTAAAAGTGTTTTACCATCGACCAGACGAGGTTATTGAGTTTGTTATTATGTAATTGCATAGCACTAATTCCTAAATGATTACATCACCGATATAGAAGAGGGATTCCCATACGCAATATGCCTTTGAACATAAAGTACAACAATGTCATTTTTTAGATATTTATCCTACAGTTATTGTTTTTACAATAAACTTTTCTAATCTCACTTTTAATATGAGGGCGGTTTAAGAAGATATTAAGCCACTGAACCGATCAACAAATCCATAGAATTATAGGGATTTAAAACTACAGTACTGTCAATTTCAAAACGATAACTTTGGAGAAATCTTTTTTTATTATTAGGTTTTAAAGCTACATGTCCAGAGGAAATGTGTAGGTGTTTTAATAAAAGTTGCAGCTGTCCTAATGTGTAATATCAATCAGAAGAAGAATATTTTACCTACAATGTTCTTCAGGATGAAAATGGTCAGTAAACACAACTTCTCTTGTCACCCTCATCAAGCTTTTCTGTGTTTTTTAAATTCCAGTACTCGACTTTCATGAAAACCGGCGTTGGTTAACTTGAAAACAGATTTAGCTTCCTCCTCGACCTGTGTATTGGACGGTGGAATGACCATAAAGAAACCATATCATTAAACAGCTTCCGGAAGTCTCTTCAAAATAAGAAAATTTGTGCGTGTGGTCATGTGGTTTGTGTTTTTCCTCTGTAGTTAAACCAGCTTTGGCAACAGCTACAAGGTTTTTTTTTATTCGTGTTGAGTATTTGTAAATGTTTGAATATAGTGTTGGGTTTTAAGATGTTATAGCGTAGCGGTATAAAAATAGCTTAACTAAATGATAAAAGCCAGCTCTTATTCTGAATGAAAGCACTTCTGATTTCCGGGATTATGCTGCCCATGCTTGGTCAACTTGATAAATCTTTGCTATTGGGCAGTTGCACAACAGCTCCACATGCCATTCATCTGACTTACTGGTTGTCCTTTACATGAGAGACCCACATGAGGTGACCTGCAGGACACAGACGAGGGACCGCTCAGACCCTGTCACATATTTTGACCCAAAATATAAACAAAATGGGATCCATTTATAGATTTAAAACAGGGACAACCATTACTAACATTCCTTAAAACCTGCATGGTTTTGATATATATGTATCTGAACCAAATGTAACTTTAACATGTATAATATGAATATGCCTGATCCTTTTATTGTTGCGTTATAACTGTTTTATTTATTTATTTCAAGGTGATAAAAAAATGCAGCCCCATCAATAAAATAAATGGATTTTTTTAAGAATGTGTGTTTTCTTCAAAGGTATTAGTTAACTTTTAACAAGTGATTGATTTAAGAAAAATCCCAATACAAAAAAATCTCTCCTGACCTGCGGACCTCTCTGTCACCACTTCAGAGGTTATCACTCTTAATGAAATACTAACTGTCACAATCTCACTTTGGAGCTCTCACAGCCAACATATTGCAGGTATATTTTATTTATAATTGAAGACACATGAGCCTGACATTCTCACATGGTTATCACTCTTATTCTCACAGTAAACATACTTCCATTTGAGCAGGATGTGAGTACACAGCTCACTTTGTTCTATTACTCAGTTTTTAATGTATATCACTGTATCAAATTGTGATGTACTATTTTCATCAGTGTTGTTGTTTTGTTACTCAGGCAACAACCAGCCTGCAGCTCTGCTCGTTCATGAGACAGTGTTCGTTCTGCACATCATTTTTAAAATACTGTCTTTTATTTTCAACAGCTAAAAAAAACACACAGGCCTGCTTTGAATCAGAGCAGTGAAGTGCTGCATCACACAATATTAAAATCCCCCCCCCCCACCGGAGCTGACGAGGAAACTGAATAAGTATAAAGAAAACTTTGATAATTGTATAAAATAAAAAATAAAAATCCAGACACAAGAAAGAAACAGGATAGTAGTTTGAAACATGTTTTTTTTTTCTCCAGTGTCTTTTGGTGGTAAAATAAAATTGTGGGTAACGGGAAGAGACACAAACCCCTCGGCTGTCCAGAGGGGGTCAGCATTGTGTTATTTAAGATCATTTATACTCTCCCCAGACTCCCACAGTCTTGCCATCCCACTCTGTGTTGGACAGACACTGGACAAAGAAATGTCCCAGGTCGAGTGCAGAGATGGCTCTTCCTTTCGGCATGTTCTCTGACGCCATGTAACTCCCCGTCAGAGGAAGATCACCTGGAGGGAGCGAGACAGAAAGAAAAAAATACATGAGATACACATAAGCAATAATACCATATTCAGTTATCTCTACCTGTTGTTAAAGGATATAGAAGCTATTAATCATAATTAAATATAATGTTTGATTCATTAATAACATAAAAACAAATATATTCACATCAAGAACCATGTGCATGGCTGAGAGTTTCTTCTCTGTGTAACATGTATTTTAGTAAAAGACGCTGATTGCTGTATTTGAATGAAAATCTTGTATTTTGTTATCTCGATGAAGGTTGCAAAACTCTAATATGTAATATGTGTGACTGAAGATGTTTTCTGTTATTTCTAAAAGCTGATTACAGAGAGATAAGCAGACTAGTTACCAAATGTATTTTTAAATTTTACTGTCAGAGCAAATCCATACAAAGTAATTTTGATGTCACGATAAGAAAACCTTCAAGGGATTTAATCACTAAACCCTGTGTTAATATGGTGCAACTTGCGGTCCCTTAGTCTTAAACACGTGTTACCATATTAGGTTTCCACAGCTTTCTCCTGGGGCAATGACTTCCGAAACCTTCCTTGCACTTTGGTTTTGAACGAAGCTCTTAGTTTGTTCTTCTGTTCTACTGACCACCGATGTGAGGCGGCATCACAGCAACATAGTCCAGCCCAGATGTTTTCAGCGCTGTGTACATCCTGTCGTGGTCTTCTGTCACAGGAATCATTCGGGGTGGGACTTTGGCACGATCCCAGCAGAAAGACTGAGTGGGACGAGGAGAACGTTAGAAAGTGACAGGAGGAGAAGGGGTCATGGAACTCATTCGCTCTTGTTTTAACATTATTAAAGGAATACCTTTCTAATAGTCTGATTGCAACATATGTAGCCTACAAAATGATAACATTTTACATTTAATGTTGTGTTAAGTGGGAGCTGTACCTGACATGCAGCCGATCACTTTACGGATCCCACGAGCCTTCATGACTTCAATAATGTTCTTGGTGCCTTCAGACATCACGGTGGTCGGGCCTGATGAGCACAGATCAGGTCACAGAGTCATATGAGGTGGGAGGTAACTTCAGATTCCTTAACTGTAGTTATGTTTCATTTAGAGACGCTGACACTTTCTCAAACTTCTGTGTTTCCCTAGGTGATGTAGTAATTATGTAAATGCTGGCCTCATGAAATCCAAGAACATCTTTTATTTAAGTTTAACATGATCTTGAAAATTCACCTTTTAATGACCAGAATGTTTCTGATCATGTCAGACTGATGTGTTGATGCTACATGGTGTTACATGTTGTGAAAGTCTTGTTGCACCCTCTAGTGAATGATTTACATTATAACACCAATAAAAACTATGATCCTGTTAGTGAAAGAGGCTGAGTTATGTAATGAAACACCTCACGTGTTTAAAAATCAAATAAACCGGTTTACACTAAACTTGGTGTGCGTCTACTTCTTCAACCTTATTTCAAGACAAACGGAACAGTTCTCTTTGCCTCTTTTGTTTTCCTCTCTGATAAAGTCTGCGCGCTTGTGTTTCTTTCTATAAACTCTGGAGTCTTACTCAGGTCGTTCCTGGTGCCCAGGATGATGATTGCAGCGTCCTGGCCCTCCAAGGCCTTCTTCACATCCTCTTTATTAACAACGTCGCCCACCACCACTCTGGACGCCCTGTGGTCTGCAGGCAGCCTGGCAGGGTCCCGAACCAGCACTGTCACATTGTATCCTGCATGTGGTAGGACAGATGGAAAGGACTGCTCAGACGAAGCTTTATCTCCTTAATACATACGATTAAATCCTCTATGTCTTATGGCATCTAATGACAGTTACCATGAAGGTCATGTAGGACTGGAAAGACAATTGACAATATTGCTTGGCGACAACAAGAAGCAGGTATTAATCTTGTCTGCATCCATTAGTCTGAAACTGTCACTCTCCCCTGAACAGTGAATGTACAGTATCTGTTGCAAGTGTTGTAAAAAAGAAGGAGCTGAATTTAACTTCCAGAAGCTTCTCTTACACCTTCTTCAACTCCATGTGGGAGATACCACCCCCCCTGTACAGGCGAGATAACAAACAGCTTCTTCTATCAGCTCAACGCCTGCTGTGACTCAGCAAAAAACTGCTGACCCTCAACATCTCTCACATGACTCAGCAGTTTTGTTCCCCTCCATGGCGAAGTTGGAGAAAGGAAATGAAAATGCTGCTCAGTCAAATGAATCATGTGTCCAAAAAGTATTTGCGTGGGATCAATCTGTCCAAAGTTTATGTGAAGAAAATCTGATATGTCAAGTTTTACGCTCATCTAAAATGTTAGTTCAGGATAAAGAAAAACCTCAACTTGATTTAATCAGATGTGTTTTTACAACCTTCAAAAGGGGTCAATTCACTTGATGGATGTTCTCAAACCAAATCTCCTAAATATCTCCATATGTTACCATGGTAATATAGCCTATAGCCTACTGTTTTCATGTTAATTATTTGATAATAACTCACAAGGACACTGAGAAAAGATGGTTATGTGATAGAATGATTTCACTCATACATTTGTTAAGCACCAAATAAGCACAATCCTCTTTTGTGATTCATATCTTATAAATACTGGGCATTTTATTTTATGTTATTGTAAGTTAATTTTGTTATAATCAGTTTTCTAATGCAGAGCCAACGTTGATAATCGCAAACCCAGTTCAACAACTTATTGATTCATTATCACACCATAACATGGTGCTCAGCAGGGTTACCCTCCGAGCCCTGTCAGTGGTCAAATAACTGCACATCCAGGTCAAATTATAGCACAGATAAGGACGTTCAGGTTTAGAAGATCGGGGGACTTTGTCATAATTAAATAAAATACTTTTACTCCCTGCAATACAAACTTCAATGAAAACTCTAACAATGTCATTTCACTTTATGAGCCTTGTGTTTGGAGCTCCGTGTCTTATCTACAGTAGTCTGACCTGCTGAAGTCACCTGCTCATTTTCGATGTATTCAGTTTGTCATTTCTCACCTGCAGCCACAGCTTGCGGCAGGGTCGCCAGCCCGGTCATTCCCGTGGCTCCAAATATCGCGACGTTTTTGATGGAGTCCGACATGATTTGTAAGAAGCGGGATCCACGGTGCATGAACAACTTGGTGGTCGAATTGGTGTTGCGATTCAGATGATTCTTCTGTCACATAACAATCACATTTGACATGTGTAGAAACGCCTCTTTTAGACACAAGTAGAGGGCCACTTCCGCAGGTCAGACTCCTCCCACACGGGGAGTTAAAGGGGCCCTGCTGCTGCTCTCATTTATTCATGTTTCAGCTGCAGTGAAGTGGGAATACTCAGCTCTTTAATCAATGTGCTCGTCACTTCAGTTCAGAAAACTTAATATATTTATCCCCAGAACTCTTTAAACATTTAGAACTCAAAGCATTTATTACAGAAACTTCCTTTTTTATACTATTACACATTTTGATTGTAGCCGCTCTCCCTCTTTCTCTTAAGAAATGTGTCTCAATTCAGGTCTACATCTGAGGTGAATGTTTGAACTTAACAAATATTTTAGGGACTTTTATATTGATGCTTAGATACTGTAAAGAAACTCTACTTAACAAGTTTTAAACTGGGAAAATGTGTCCAGTCTTTACTTTGATGCGGCTGAAGAGCCTCCATATAAGAATTTGAGACATGATTCCAGGTCAGAACAACATGAGGGCTTATAAGCAGCGGTTATGTAGAAAGGGTCAAACCAATTCTTGACATACACACAGAGCAGGCTGCCCTGCTTTTATGTTCCTTTTTAAAAAATACTGCTCCTCAGGGCTTCCAAAGCAGACTCACTCTGAGAGGCTTCAAGTGCACTTAGCTCTTCCTCTCCTTTTTCTTTTCATTGGAAACATTGCCTCAGTCAGTCAGGCAGTGTTATTTATAAAGCATGCTTCTTACACAGGTACATTTAAGGTGACTTACAGAAAGGTTAGAAACAACAACATACAGACTTTAACAAACAGTACAAAGTTAAAACAATGCATTTGAAAAAAGGCAAAATATAAGAAACATTTCTATGACAGCAAATGAGAAGAATAACTGCACACAAGATGGCTGAATTACTTTTTATTAGTATTTAATTACATAGCCAACTTAAACGAACTGTTTCGCTCACATGTCTTCATCAGGTCCCCAGAAATAAGGACTGACAGTGATGTGCACAGGGCATCCAGGTGTTTATTTCTATAGGCTCATTCATATCCAAATGTCTCCCCTGTTGACGTATTTCTACCACATTATTGTAATTCAATACAACCTGTTTATTATTTTTGTGATAAACTATCAAGACAATGCCTGAAAACAGGGACGAAACTGGTATTAATTCCTGAAAAGATAAATATTTTGAAGTTACTCGTTTCTGATTGGCCTAAGCGCCGAAGCCCCGCCCATTTCTTCTTCGTGAAAATATGAGAACTCAAACGTTAAACTCCGGTACCCTGACAGTTTAAACGACCCGCAGATGTTAAGAAGTTGGTGTATAATTGGATTATAAATTGGTTAGTTAGCTAACTAGATACCTCAGCGGCACAGCACGTTTACGGTAACGCCGAATGTAACGTTAAGATAAACTCATGTTTTGCTGTTGAAAGTTTATGCTAGTCAGTAAGTTTGCCCGAACTTCAGGTGTTATGCCGAGAAATGCACCCTGCCGAGATGTGCTCGCACCTCGCGGAAGTGTTTGAAAACGGTCTAAATCTTATTTCTGGGGACGTATCTCCGGTGACAAACGATCTGAAGTGTTCTTAATAAATGATAATCGTCCTTATTGTTATGTAGACTCGGTAGAAAACACATTTTCATTAGCCTTCGTGACTATGACCTGTAAACAGTTTTTCCCACTAAGTCTGGGATGTTTAAGGTTTGATGCAAAATACGGCAGCATAGTATTTTAAGGGCGGATGCAAAATTCAGCAATTTAGAAAAGTGTGTGCCAGATTTTGAGTTGTCCTGAAGCTGCGTACAATTCTCGACAGGGATGCATTTCTCGGCATAACACCTGTACGCTAAACAAGCTGACATCGGCTCGCTGTTTATTATGTAAAAAGGTGATAGACCACTTTTACTGAGGGGGGCCAAACTGGGGCCAGTTGTTTTGTCAGAGGGGAACATTAAACCCAGGTGAAAAATAGACAAAGAAGATCGCTTTTAAAAATATATATTATGCCAAATAATAACACACATCATTTAATACCATGATTTATATGTGTTTCAGTAACAGTATTTAATATATTCTGAGTCCGGTTGTTGAGTCAAGTACTATGTATGTGTTATGAGGGGGGCTTTCATTTTTGGGGGGTGGCCACAGGGGCACTGGCCCCCGTTGGCCCCTGCCTAGAACCGCCCATGGATATAAAACACTGGTAAAAGGTATAACCCTTCAAACAATTTTTTATGTTGAAAATAGATATTTCTGCCTTTTGGACATGTTTAACCAATTATCGTACATGATGTAAAAGTAACACTTAAGTTAAATAGCTGCCCCCCCCTCCCCCCCTCTATGTGTCCGTCCGTTTCTCTCTCTCTCTCTACTCGCCGCACCAATGCTGATATTTCTCCCCAGCATCACCAGCGGAGAGGAAGAGGAGGAGGAGGGGGAGGAAGGAGAGGTTGTGTCAGGTGGAAACGGGGACCTCTATGGATATCATCATCACCCTCCACCGGCTCGCATCCTCAGCACCGACAGCATCTCCTGGCTGGCGGTCACCGCTGCAGACACGCAGCGCCCCTTTTCTATGCGCAAAAAGCGTTGCATATCGCAGGGACCCCTTCTGGCTGCTTCTATGATTCCCAGACAAACCGCTTCCTCTTGTAATAAGGACTATTTGAGGGAAGACCCTGCTGGAATAAAAGCGGAGCGTCAGTCTCCTCCATTGATAAACGCTCTCCTCATCGATTCAGCCAAACGACGTCTTAAGAGGAGGACAAAACCGATCCAAAAAAACTGACAGTGAAGCTGAAGGTAAGGCCGATAAAAAAGATGACAGGCTGAATTCTTTCTCCGTGGGATGTCGTTTTATTTTGTCATTCCCTGTGTGAGAGCAAGGAGTCGAGGTGCACGGTGTTTTTTCCTTCTTTTTTTTTGCAGGGACGCCGGCCTGCATTTGGGTGCAGGGTACTGCAGTGATCTTGCGGGGGGAAGCGCTGTTTCATGTCTTTTTTTCACCTACATGTGTTACATGATGCATGCCTGGTGAAGTGTCAGTGCATCCTGCATGACCTGGTTGTGCTCATTTAAAGTGATGAACATGTTAAGAAGCAGAATAGCGGCCTATGTGTATGGTGTGTGGTATGATGTTGCATGGTCTACCGGTTCATTTTAGGCTTCATTTCAACCGATAACTTGTTATATCTGATCTAATGGCTACATTGGGTTGTGTGACCTTTCGGCATGCTGTGCCCTAATTCAAACAGCAATTTAACTTAATGAACACTTCCAGGCCTAGTGTTCATTTCCTGCTGTAACTTCTACTTCATAGTGTGTCTGTGGTCTCACTGTGACCTCGCATTACTTTGCTGTTTCTGCCCCTGTTGGTCTCAGTTAAACCCGAATCCAGAGGGGATTTAGCTGTTCTCAAGGTGGGCTATTTAGATTGCTGTCATGTCTAAAAGAGAGAAAAGACCGACAGCAACATAACTCAAGCTGGAGCAACTCAAACAGCAGATGCACAGCAGTCTGAATATGGTGTATTTGATCACAGCTGCAGTAAAAAAAAACTCTGCTACCTCAGAGTCTAACACTGTCTGAACGCAGGTTAGTTGGTTACCATTGGTGCAAAGTATGATTGGGTCTGTTGGAAGTGAGTTAGGTGGAAATGATGGAAACAAAGAAACTGGCACATGTATTATAAAGCGAACCATAAATCCACGTTATAACTTTGAGTTAATCATCTGTAAAGGCAAACATCCAACATTACTGCCTGAAGAAAGTGACACGATTTAGCCAGTCACTCTGTTATTCTTCTGGAGATTTATGGTAGCTGATAGACTAATACCTTTGACCTTATTTCACTTTATGAGAGCATAAGATCTGTGTAGCATCACTTCTGTAGTACACCTACAAGGGGTTGATGCTCAGCTATCTAATGTGTGGAGAGAACTTACTGCACTTCACGTTATTGCATCTTGTGTAGTGACACTCGTGTTTTAATAATACAAACTAAAACCTAAGTTGTATTCAACATTTTGACATTGATTGAACCCTTGCCGTTAAAGGGTTAAAAATACCATCATATAACTCCTGTAGTGTCGGTGACTACATGAGCTGTAAGTTATGGAAGTAAAGTTATTATAGTTTCTTGTGTTGAGCATAATATTACTGTACACTCTATACTAATAAACTGTCTTTAATCTGTTTTAACAAATAAGTAGTTCACATATCTTTACTGAACAGAGCTGTTACATTTCTGTGATCAGTGTTATTATCAAACAACGGTATGGCACACATTTTATTATTACATCTGCTCACCAGTTATTGCCCTGATCTATTCCAGGATAGCAAGGACAGATGGTCCTTTTTTGTCACCCTTGTTGTTGCCATCCCTGTCTTGTCTGGATGACAGACAGCCTCTCTGGGACACTGAAGCTCTCTGCTCCTGTCTCTGTTGTTCTTCAGACCACAAGGTTAGTGTTTTGATTAAGGCTATAGCGGTCTTGCAGACTTAAAGAACTGGGGCGGCGGCTACTGCTCTGCTGCTCTTGCTTGCAGATGTTGTTTCACTCTGCTGAGGTGAAGTGAGTGGAAGTGACTCAGTGCAGGGTGTAAAGTGCGTACTGCATGACGTCACAGTAAAAAGATCCAGTGTGTGTTTGTGTGTGACGGAGAGAGAGAGAGAGAGAGAGAGAGAGAGAGAGAGAGAGAGAGAGAGAGAGAGCTTCAATCCCTGGAAGAACAGTCAAAGTTTTGGATTGATATGGATCAAGTTTAAAATAAGTCCTTTGGTTAAGTATGGGTAAGAGATTATAATGGTGGAATATAAAGACTTTAGAGGAGGTACTGAAGTTAGAGATTTTACTATGAAGCAGTCTCGAGGCATTCAGCTCGCTTCTTAATCTTTGTTTGCGGCTCGTGGTTACATCTACATCTAAATTTGTGCTTTTGCGGCATTATTGTTGACAGGTCAGCAAAAAAAATGCCACAACAGTAGGATCAAACTTCACAGCTCTGATAAAAGACAGAAAAGC